TGTGTTGATCTCTGCCTAATGACCTCTATATATATACACCCAAGGGGAAACCCTAATTAGGTCATAAGGGTAATTACGTCCATCGAATAATTACCAATTAAGTACGTAGGGTATTTATTAGGTCAATGATCAATTAATTAGATAAATGATAACTCAGGCCACATAATAAAATCGTGTCTAACATTCTCCCACTTGGCCGGGTAATCATTTATGATGAGTATTAGATAAGTCTGATCAGATTTTAATACTCATTTTAGTTCTAAACCGAAATTGTAACAGAGAAATACAGTCATTGAATCAATATTCAATACAAGACCCCCATTAATCATACTACAATACCAAATTTAAAACTTAAATAAGCTAAGGATCAAATTGACAATTAAGCCCATAACATTATTTTGTATATAAATGTTGTCTATATGTCTTTAGGCATGCATAGACACATTCAGAGACAAAACAAACAAAACAATGAGAAAATTTTATTATTAAATGTAAGTAAGTACAATATGCAACTAAATAAGGTCTTTAGAAAACCCCATCTTCGAAACATGTTCTTCGAAAATCTTAGGAGGGAGCCCTTTAGTCATCGGATCCGGAAGCATATTCTTAGTACTTATATGCTCAATACAAAGTTTATTTTCCTCAACTCGCTCACGTATGAACAAGTACTTTGTATCAAGATATAAAGCAGTGCCAGTCGAACTGTTACTGTTCGAGAAACTAACGGCGGCTGAATTATCACAAAAAAAGCTTCAATGGTCGAGAGATGGAATTAACTACTTTGAGTCCACTGATGAGGTTTCTGAGCAACATCCCATGACAGGTTGCGTTGTACACCGCAATGTATTCTGCCATCATTGTAGAAGTTGCAGTCAACTCTTGCTTATGACTCTTCCACGAGATAGGTCCGCCAGCTAACATAAAGATATACCCTGAAGTGGATTTCTTGTCATCTTTGCACTTAGCAAAATCAGAATCAGAATAACCAACCACTTCTAAATTATCACTCCTTCTGTAAGTCAGTTTATAGTCTTTTGTCCCTTGTAGATATCGAAGAACTTTCTTAGCTGCTTTCCAGTGATCAAGAC